TGAGTCGAGCAGCTGCTGCTGCTTCACCAAGCCGCCAGAACCACCAGCGAGCCACCTCCATTCCGCCGCTGCTCATCCCTTCATCCATCGCTGCTTTCGCTTCTTCTCGTTCATAGCAGCTCGCCGGATAATGAGCTGAAACAACCTCCAAAATCAATCTAGACAGCCTGCTTCTGCCCCGTTCTAACACAGTCGGCGTTCTGTCCGTTTTCGGGTCCGGCGAGGTCGTCGAGTTGCCAAGGTTAACGCTCGTAACTCCGGTACTGGTACGCACCTTTGGTCAGTTTTTACGTTTGCTTTCATGTTCAGAGGTACTAGTCCTCATGTTAATGAATCATTTTGTTAATTTTCTTTCTTGGATTAGTTAGTTTATTCTCTTCAATTAAATGATAATCTTGGTTTCATGTTCATGTTTTGTTGAATTTGTAATTGTGTACAAATAGTTGATTTAATGGTTCCATGTTTGGTATGAATTTCATTTTGGGCAGCTTCATTAAATCGCAGTGCTTTGCATTTTTGTTCTAGTATCTTCGTTAATTGGATGGTCCACATACTTTGCTTTTAAAAAAAATGTGCTTCTAATGAAAGGCTCAGAATGTAAATGTAGTAATCCTTAAATAATGATTAATTAACTAGGTTTTTTTTTTGTTTACTATTAGAAACAAAAATCAAATGGAAAATCGTAGTTTACTTTAGGTTGGCCTTTAAATAATAAATGAGACGAGTCTCGCCAAATAAAATGCACAAATTGCGGGGCCCTCAATAAATGGTTGTATTAAAATACTGAGATTTTGGGGATGAGCCGTTTAGTGAATTTCACGGCCTTCCCCAAAAATAATAACGCATTAGTCTCTTTAGGCGCGTATTTTAATAACATTACCTTCCTAAACTCGAGTACACATTTATGTGACTCAAATTCAAATCCCAACGAAGTCGAAATGTGTCAACAACCACGGGTGCATTTATGTGACGTGATTCGAGACGTGTTTTCACGACGTTGCAATTCTCTTTTAAAATAGTAATAATAAAAGCGGCTAAAAGTTAAAATTTGCATATATGTTCAAAATGTATTAAAATCAGATAAATAAAGCTAAATATAACAGTTGAGCGACCGTGCTAGAACCACGGAACTCGGGAATGCCTAACACCTTCTCCCGGGTTAACAGAATTCCTTACTCGGATTTCTGGTTCGCGGACTGTAATACAGAGTCAATATTTTCCTCGGTTCGGGATTCAACCGGTGACTTGGGACACCATAAATCTCCCAAGTGGCGACTCTGAATTAAATAAATAAATTCCGTTTCGATTATCCTTAAATTGGAAAAACTCCCTTTACGCCCCTGCGGGCGCAGGTAAAAAGGAGGTGTGACAGCTCTGGCAACTTTGCTGGGGATCAGACCCAGAATCTCTGGTTCAGGGTTCAAGAATTCGAGCTTAGAATAATTGTTGTATTTGGCTTTATTTATTATCTGATTTTATTATATGATTGGGTTTAAATGTG